TGTCTCCCAGGGGCTAGAAAGTGAGGGGAGCCTTGGCTGTCTCAGGGGATTCCAAGAAAGAAACCAGAAGGACTGGAATAAAAACTTAATCAAAGACCAAGCAGAAGAAAAGTCTCTCGAGTCACAGAAAGATCTGGGTTCACGAAGTAAACAAGCCGAACACATTCCAGGCAATATCAAGAAAGGAAAATGACAAGGCTGGAAAAAAGATTCCCACCAGCTTCACAGTAGAAAGAGAAAAAGGAAAAACTGGTTCCCTCTATTGGCACTAGTACAAGTTTGGCCTTGGGTTTTGCTCTTGGGACCATTTGGAGGCCTAAATTTCTGAAGGCGGTGGAACAACACCTGTTTAGGATTTTGAGGGCATACTCGGTCCCAGGAATTTTATATGCATCAAATCCCCTTTTGAATATGTAGGCATCTGCAAGATGTTTTAAGATATTCAGAGGCTTGGAAAATAGATCTGTCTGTGTTCTGCAGTAGGCCAAAAAAAAAAAATAAAAAAATAAATTCAAAGTGCAGTTTTCTGGAGTGTGGCTGTCATGGCATAAAGGGCCCCCTCAGCCACAATGGTCCTCACGGCCCACTGTCCTCGGCGGTGTGGCCGTGGAGTCCCTGCAGGGTGGCCCTGGGCGTGCGGGGCCTCTGTCACCTGAGCCGCCTGCCCTCACGGGGCAGCTCCAGGAAGTGCGTGCTGGAGCCACATCCTTCACCCGGCGGCTCGGCTCCGGGCGGCTCCGGCGGAATCTGTGCTTCACTGGGCGACCACGCAGAACAATAACAGCTGCCACTCGCTTCCTGAACTTAACAACAGTGGCTCGACCGTTTACCCTCTCAGACACTTGTGACGGAGCAGCTCGTAGAACGTTGTTTTGTTTTCCCCTCTGCAAAAGCCGCGTTCCCCGGAGCACCCTGACAGCCACCACTGTCAGGGACCCACCGGGGACTCGAGTCTCTTGTCTTCAGAACTCACCAGAACGGCTCGAGCTTCGGGATTTTTCTTCCAAACTGGGAAAACGATAACCAAAGGGTCTACGAGGCAGATATTTTCTAATTCCCTGTTTATCTAAACCTGCATTAAAACCCGGGGGGTGCTGCCTTCCTGACTCGAACAATCGACGCCCTGGATACAATCTCCACCTCGGGGAGAGACAGGAAGTTCAGAGAGAACGTGGATGTGACGGGGATGAGGTGGCTTTCATCGTTCCTCTTGGTAGGGAGGGGGTGGAACGGCGGCCCTGGGTTTGGGGTGCCCGTTCACAGGAAGCGGCCCCCTGAGGTCACCCTGGAATTGGCGCTTCAGGAATGGGACCGTCTGCCCAGCCCCGAACTCTCCCTCCCTCTCCCGGGAGGGGGCGGGGAGTCACTCAGAGGCAGCAGCAGCCCAACAGCTCATTCCTGAGTCAGCGGTTCAAGCTGGGGCCGCTTCCCTTAGGGGAGAGTCACTTCCCTTTCCAGGTAGGGAAGGGACTCTGGGCTTTACAAGAAACCCCGCTGTCTCCTGTGAGAAACTCAGGCCTCAGAGCACGCCCCACCCCCAGGATAGGCGGCACAGGTTCCAGTCCGGAAGGTTCTCTGGGTTCGAGCATCAGGGCAGCAGCTGTTGAACGACCACTTAACCCTCCCACAGGCTACTCGGGCACCTGCAGGCACAGAGACCCAAGGCCCAGAGGGCAGACCTGAGGGGCATTGGGCTCCACAAAATTTGCCCCACTTTCCCCCACCCCAGGCGCTGCCTAGAATCTTCTAAAGCACCTCCGGCTCCCTTCTCTGTCACCCTCCTTCCCTGCTACCCCTGCACCGGGAGGTGTGTGTGATTTCCACTTCCCAGCAGAGTTTCTTGGCCTCCTCACCCAAGGCCGTGTGGCTGGCCCAGCGGGACACGAACCCAGCTCCCAGCTGGGAACAGAGGCGTCCTCACTGATCTACCGCAAGGGCCAAATGCCATTTCTGATCAAGTATTATCTGCAACTGTGTGAAGGACGAGAGGCCAAGCTCTTTGAGAGGCCATACTGCTTGCCCCATCCCTCCAGGTGGGGTGCTAGGCCCGTCCTCCCCAGGGGGTTCCTACGCCCAGCCGGGTTTGGAAACAGCTTCTGGGCTAGAAGACAGAGGCTGGGGAGGTCTGGAGGCCCGGCAGCGAGACAGAGGGCCCAGGGAGAAAGCTCAAGCAATTAAAATAAGAAACAATAAAGCCTTTTGCTGCTTCACTTGGTGGAGTTTCAGGCCAATTCTTATTTTGGGGAGCCTCATACTCTGGCGGCACCGAACAGACTCAGGTGTCAGGCGTGAGTTATTTAGAAACTGTGGCTGAGCTCAGAAAAGAGCGTGAGGTTTTGCCTCAACGTGAAAAGAGGAACTCGAGTTAAAATAAGCAGCGATCAATAACTGCTGACGGCTCCTCCGAAGGCCTTTGCTTTAATTGGGAGCTTTCGTTGGCTTCTCAGCGGACATCCACGCTCACTTTGTTGGGGAGGTGTATTTTTATAGGAAGCTGTATCCTTAAAGGTGGAAACTTCCTCAGGCCACCTAGGCACACAGCTTCCTGCACCTTGGTTACCTGCACCTTGGTTACCTGGTTTGGCTACCAAGGAGGTCACAGGCCAGGTTACCTGCACCTGCACCTTGGTTACCTGGTTTGGTTACCAAGGAGGTCACAGGCCAGGTGCCCGGGTTGGGAGCAGATATGTCCAGCAGGGCCGCACCTGCCCTTCAGACATGGCCTGCCCTGCCCTGGCTGAGTGTGGGCCTGAGGGGGCCACGCTCTGCCCCCAAGACCCTGCCACCGTCTCCAAGGGTATCTGCACCAAGACGGCCCATTCACACGCAGACTGGGGCTGGTGGCCCCTGGGTGGCACCCGCAGAGAGAGCCGCTGGGGGCTGAGCCCATCGGATTCCCTCTTGGGCCTGAGAACTGAGAAGTGAGCCTGTGGGGAGGGCCGAGCCGACCCAGGGAAGGGCTGAGTCAGGGCAGAAACCGGGGTGCAGGGTGCGGAGCTCTCCTGGCCCCGAGCCCCGAGGGTCCTGGCACGGCCTTCTCCCCCCTGCTGGGCATGTCTGCGCAAAGGGCACCTCGCCCTTCCAGAGTTGGCCGGCCGCAGTAGATCTGCTCCTCGCACCCCCCAGAATCCGAAGAGGCCGTGGATTTAGGAGCAGCTGCAGGCCGTGCGGCGACCCCCAGCGTCTCGGGAGGGAGGCCGCAGCAGCGAGAGTGTGACGTCGGGAGGGGACAGACGCGAGGCGCGGTCGGTACCTTCACAGGCCGTGGGTGCAAACCCTACACGAGAAGCCGCAGAGTCATGTCTTTTCCAGTCATACTTAAAGTTTCCTTCGCTTTGAAGGAATAGAAGAAACCACAAGTGGAAAATAGATCAAAAGCTTTGACCAACTTTTAACTTAAGAGGGTTTAGACTCCTCTCAGCAAACCGCCCGTCAAAGATGCCAACGTAGCCAGGAGCACGCACACGGTCCCAGGCCTGGGGAAACGTGGAGGCCGTGGAAGCCCACTGCCCGCCGCTACCTGGCCTCCCTCGCCGCCACGTCCCGCAGGTGAGGGGCCCACAAGGGACACACGAACAGCTGCCTCGTGCTCCAGAGCACGGTCGTGCCCTAGGTGTGCCACACCTGCTCTTGGTGACTTCTCCAAGAGCCAGGCCCAGACTCGTGGGCATCCCAGGTGACTAAAACCTGCTGGTGGCTGCACTTTAGGTGCTGGTGTGGAAAGAGCCAGAACAGCACTCGGCCTGACCTCTACCAGGTGGAGCCCAAATGGCACCCCCGGTGGATGCCCCGCAGCAAACACGCCCTGAGCGGCAGGGCTGGATTGGGCACACTCCTCAGGGACACACTCCTCAGGGGCTCACTCCAACCAGTGGCTCGTTGAAGCCATTCCTTTGAGCCCCTCACGAGGCCTTCCCAAGACGCATTCTGCTCTCCCTCCTGACACACTTCTGGTGATTTTTGCCCCACGGCCCCACCTGTTGTCCTGCCCTTGAGTCCAGCTCAGCGCCTACTGTTGCCTCCCGGTTCTGCACAAAGTGGCTGGTTCCTTTCAAGGTCCGGAGGCCCCGCTCCAGCCCCGTCCTCCCCGCCTTCCACTTTCTCTCCAACCAAACTCCACAGACCCCGCCATGGCTCCTCTGTGACATGGTGCCCAATCCCTTGTCGGTCCCTGCTGCTCTGCTCACACGGGGCACTCCTCCCGCCGCCTGCCACTTGCCGTGGCCGCCGAGGACGGAGCGTGACAAGCACACTCCATCCCCCACTCAGAGGACATGGAAACCTCACTAACTTTGATCTTCCCGCCTCCCGTTCTCTTAACGCAGCCAGATGAAAATAGCTTCCCTGCCTTCCACATCGCAGTGCTGCCACATGCTGTGGTCAAACAAAGCCTTGCTCTTTGTTGCACGAACTGTGCTGAGGGTGGTCTTCCCAGGCTTGGATTGGTGCCGCTGATTTTTCTTTTTAAGATTTAACTGCAAGCTTTGCACATGTAGATTTACGCGGTGGAATCAGTCGCCGGGGGCATCAGCCTTGGACAGAAGGGAGCGCCACACGCCAAAAGGCGCTGTTTCGTGAGAACCTTCTAACCCCTCAGGAAACGTGGTCTGTCCCCCGCGAGCTCACCTCCCTCTCTCCTTCCCGGCCCGCTTCCCCCCCCTCACTCCAGGGCACTGGAGACAGCAAGCCACCAAGCCACGGCCACGCGCTGCTCCTTCATCTCTGCGCAGTCTTCCCCCCACGGTTCCCTCCTTGCACCCGCTGCTGACTCAAGCAACCTGTGGCGTGTCTGTTTCATGCTGTCACAGAGCAGGGCACTCTGGAGGGTCACAGTCTACCCACCAGGCCACCCCCCTGGACTTTCGGGAGAAAGCCGGGCTCAGCCAGGCCTTTCCGGCTAGGCTGCTTGGGACACGCGCTCTCGTGGTCCCCTTTCCACCCTTTCGCTGCCAGTCTAGGCTGAAATCACATCCATATTTCAAGGTTCATAAAGGACTTACCTGAACCGTGAATTTGTCATCTTCATTGGGCAGGATTCTGTAGGTGTAAACACAATTCCGATACCTGAAATAGATCAAAGGCTTCATTACGACCCATGCAGGAACCGGGACAGGAAAGTCTACTTTCCTCGTAACAAGACTTCCTGACACAGCTCAAGGAGTCTGGGCACAGAGCCTCTGAAGCCTGGAGCAGGCCGTTTCTGGGGTGGAGACGGGCCTGCCATGCGGCAGTCCTGGACCGCGGCGCCAGGCGCTCACCCACCCCCTCGGCACCCAAGGAGCCCCAGGACAAGGCAGGAGGGGTCACTTGGGGCGACACTTCGCCCGTGGGGGCTGATTGAAGGGAGTCCGCCGTCTGGAAGGGAGGGGGTGCCCGCAGAGGAACCAGACTCCAGTGGGGCTGAGCAAGGTGGGCTCAGGCACAGTCAAGGCTCCCCCCCCCCATGTGGCTTCCTCCCCCTGGGCACTTTGCCCCGTGCGGTTATTCTCCTACAGGTTGGCCACCAGCTCTTCAGAGACCTGCATTTGCCTCCTTTGCTAGTGAGTGAGCCGTGCAGTTGTTTCTAACAAGGAAGTGCTAGGAACCCCAAATTCTCTTCTCATTCTAGAAGCTCTACCTTCCTTTGGCTCAGGAATCCCCAGTGTGAGAAGCACGGGGTACTTTTCCCCTTCTTGAAACCTCTTAGAGGAAGGGGGAGTTGTCAAGTCTGAACCCCTTGGAAGAGGGGCTCACGGGTGCCTGGTCCCAGCCCAGCAGGCTGTCGGCGGTCTGGGGAAGGTTCTTTGGATCTTATGCTCTTTACTTGAAGTTGCCGGTCTGTTCTCTTGCCCACCCTCCTCTTGCCCCACTCCCTCCACTTGGGGTTCTCATAAGCCTGGGAAGCCCCAGACGGGAGCCAGGCTCTGCCATGAGCCGACACTTCATCCATGGTGGAAGTTTTTCTGAGCCCTTCTTGGCGCCAGGCTCCCCTCAAGCGTTCACATAGGCTATTGTTGAACCAGATTTTTAAAATTATATACTAATAGAAAAAAATTAAAACCACACAGAAAGATCTAAAAGGAAAAATAAACCTCTCTTTCCCTCTCCCGTGAGCCCCATTTCTTAGATTTCCTACTCATGTTTTTAAGTCGTTCCAGAAATTTTAAGCACACCCAAAAGCTTATATATACATGTCTTTTAAAGTACAAATAATACCATATTAAATACTTTGTTTCTAAAATTTGGTTTTGTCACCACCCCCCCAAAAATCTTAGAGGTGTTCCCAAGGCAAGCGTAAGATGGTTTATTAGCGTGTTTGTCATGTTCCACCATGTGTTGTAACGTGTTGACATCTGGCAGTGACCATAGATAAATCACCAGGAGGAGATGGCCAGGCTAGAAGACCCCAGCAATTTTCTGTTTTGATAGAGACTACAAACTGCCGACAGTGAGTGTGGCATTTTGTTCTCCTGCTAACCGGATATGAAAGTGTCTATTTCCCCACACCCTGCCAACGGGCTGTTATCAGATTGTTTAATCTTGCAAATCTAAGAGGTGAAAATGATAGCTTGCTTTAATTTGCCCTTCTTTATGAGAAAGGTTCTTCAACATGTTCTCATGTCTAGTTATTTGTATTTCTTTTTCTGTGAATTCCTTTTCTCGTCTTTGGCTCACTTTTTTTGGTATCATGTTTTGCTTATTTATGTATGAGACTCTGATATATGATACAATGTATTTTGGAGTTATGTTTAACTGGTTGGTTTTTTTTGTTTGTTTGTTTTACTGTGTAGAAGTTTTACAATTTTATGTGGCCAATTTTACCATATTTTATTGTATGGCTTTTGAATCAGTGGGTGCTTAAAGAAAATTTTGCATAATGTTTTGGGTAATTTCACTTCCACTTCATTTCACTTAGGAAAGGTGCTTGTCAGTCCCTATTGCTTTAGCTCCATCTTTCCACTCCCTGTCCTGTCTCCTAGGTTGATACCACACTCAAGTCTTGTCTTGCGTCAGGGATAGCAAGGATGACTCCCTGGTCCAGTGACATCTCACCTCCCAGAGAGGCCCCTGGCCCTCGAAGACCCCCCTCAACCCCATCCCTATCACTCCCAGGCTCACGGCCCCCCACCTCCTCCAAGGCTTGCCAGAGCAGTGAAAGATAAGAGCGTGGTAGGGTTGAGGGTAGCTCTCTCTGCTCTTATCTTTCAATGCTCTGTTCTTGCGACACTTCCTCCTGTAGGCATGCAAATGGGGCAAGGCTGAGAACAGCCTCTTATTTGGCTGAGGACAGCTAATTTATGGAAGCGTTCCAGCCAGCCCAAAACATCAGCGTGTAGACAGAAAGAACACAAGTCACGAAGAGAGAGACAGGCAGCCGCACAGGACAGGAAAGCCCCTTTGGTTTAATCAGGTGTGGCAGACAAGGCTTCAGGGCTTTTTTGAAGATGTTCTAGAAGCATTGAAACAAAGAAACAGCTCCACATTACTGAAGCAGATCAGAATTCAAAAGCTATTAATAGTATACAAGGAAGAGATGGTACTTCCCCATTAGACAGTAACATCTCAGCTGATGTTAATGACCCTGCATGGCCAATGCATAGGGCTGGACTCTATCCCTGGGGCTGGTTCAGTTTAAATCTTCAAGGAAAAAACCCACAGCCCCACTACCACCACTAGCCTGCCACGTACAACCCACTGGGGGAGCAGTAGTTCCAGCCTGTGTTCCACGGGGTGCTGGGGGCTCTGCAGGGAGGTGGAGGAGAGGGCTCACCATCAGCAGCTGTACTTCGCTCTGATCCTATATGCATACACACATATACACATGCATGCACACTTGTGCACACATACCACACGTATACATACCTGGGTGTACACATAACGTGCACATAACACACACAACACACATAACACATGCATATATATACACAGGCAAACTCTTACATGCAAAATGCCTAAAGCAAAGATTCCACAAATAAATAGTGTCTGAGCACTACTGCACTAGAACATAATCTGGACAACATGCTCCTGCTCTCTGGGGGCAATGGGCCCCACCCAGCCCTTCCCCAGCTCTTGACAGTGGTTTGATGACATACTACGGGGCTTGCGCTGGCTCTCAGCTGAGACCCCTCTTGGTGCCTGGCTTGCATTTCAGGGTGAGGGGCCAGGAATATGCCCACTGGGGATGCAGGCTGGGATAGCACCTGGCCGCCTTCCTTCTGCTACGGAGTGAGAATGTTCTATTCTCAAATGAAGAGGGCTTAGAGCACATATCCCACACAACTCAGACAGGTGCTGGGTGACGACAGGTGCCCGCCCTGTGCTGAACACTGGACAAGAAGGGGCAGGAAGGTGCCTGCCGGCAGAAGGGCATTCCCAGATCAGATCGACCTCATGTGGCACAAGAAGTTTTACCCTAATATAAGAGGACAGCCAGTGGAAGGAGGAAGAAACATCATCATAGCGTTGTATTTATCCTTTCAGGAAAATCTTCCTATTTCTGTACGACTATTCCTAGCCAGATCAATACTGACGACCATGCCTAGAAACCTCCTTTACGACCATGCCTAGAAACCTCATTAGTGTTTCTGTCTCACTCTGCTCGTCGGCCGGCATAATTGTTTTTAAATCCCTTCGCGACTCTCATTATATATCATTTCTAATTTCCAATGATGTTGTTTGTATGTGTTTTCTCTTTTTCTTGGCTAAGTGAAATAGAAGCAGACTCTGGACAAGACAGGGTGGATGAAGAGAGCTGGAAACCCTGTATTCAGAAAAGCCACGTGGACCAAGGTAGAAATAAGGGGAAATGTATAGCGGCCCTGGGAAGCTAAGGCATTCACCATTCTCCACTCCTAACCCCGAAGAACCCCAGCCGAGAGAATGCTCGAACTGAGGAATGGCGAGAGGCCATTAGTTGCTCACTTGGGCCCCTCCAGGAGGGAGAGGGCAGGGAGAGGGGCCCAGTGGCCAGGCAGCGAGAGGTGGAGGCCAGGCTGGCAGAGTGTTGCTGGGAGCCTGCTGAGCACCCCCTAGCCCAAACAGCTTGGGAGTTCGGTGGGTCATTCCTTGTCCACAGAAGCAGAGACCTGGGTATGCGACCCTGGTGGGGAGATCCCACCCCTGCGCCACACCCACCCTCACTGCCTGCCCCACCAGCCGGAACTTGGATCAGGATCTCCACCAGCCCTTTTATGTTTGGGAAGAGTGTTTGGGCAGAAACTTACTCCTACCTCTGAACAAACCTAATCTGATTTTTCCTGACAGTTCTTTGCCAGGAAAGAAAAATTGCCAGATCAATGAAAACGTATCACCATTCAAACGGACGGGGCCAGTTTTCTAAGGACTCCAAGGAGTTACTGTATATCTTAAATATAACAGCAGCTTCAAAAAACCAAAAAACAGAAAACAAGCATTCTGGAGAAGTCTGATCTGTGAATTCGCTAAGATTTGAGAGCCCACTGGCCCTCTGAAACTGGAAGAATTGACTGTGCAAATTGAGCAGGCTGAGATAAACAAAGCTGATCATAAGTGAACAACCGGGAAGTCTGGAGTCAGAATTAAACACACAACAGAGGCAGAATGTTAATGAGGAGGAAGACGAACTGGGGAAAGTGGCACAGAGGAAAAAAACATAAAGATATTTTAAAATGAGAAGGAAGAAGAGGAACAGGATGTAGATCTCAGCCCTCCGACATATGCAATAGGGGTTTCTGAAAGGATAGAGATAATTTTTCAAAATATAAATACAAAAAGCAGCATTCTGGGAGGCCGAGGTGGGCAGATTGCTCGAGGTCAGGAGTTCGAAACCAGCCTGAGCAAGAGCGAGACCCCATCTCTACTATAAATAGAAAGAAATTAATTGGCCAACTAATATATATATAGAAAGAAATTAGCCAGGCATGGTGGCGCATGCCTGTAGTCCCAGCTACTGGGGAGGCTGAGGCAGCAGGATTGCTTGAGCCCAGGAGTTTGAGGTTGCTGTGAGCGAGGCTGACGCCACAGCACTCACTCTAGCCTGGGCAACAAAGCAAGACTCTGTCTCAAAAAAAAAAAAAATACAAAAAGCAGAACAGGTAAACAAACCT